TAGTCGTGGTAGTAGTAGTAGTAGTAGTCGTGGTAGTAGTAGTAGTAGTAGTAGTAGTAGTAGTAGTAGTAGTGGTAGTAGTAGTAGTAGTAGTAGTAGTAGTAGTGGTAGTAGTAGTAGTAGCAGTACTAGTAGTAGTAGTAGTAGTAGTAGTGGTAGTAGTAGTAGTAGTAGTAGTAGTAGTAGTAGTAGTAGTAGTGGTAGTAGTAGTAGCAGTACTAGTAGTAGTAGTAGTAGTGGTAGTAGTAGTAGTAGTAGTAGTAGTAGTAGTAGTAGTAGTGGTAGTAGTAGTAGTAGTAGTAGTAGTAGTAGTAGTAGTGGTAGTAGTAGTAGTAGTAGCAGTACTAGTAGTAGTAGTAGTAGTGGTAGTAGTAGTAGTAGTAGTAGTGGTAGTAGTAGTAGTAGTAGCAGTACTAGTAGTAGTAGTAGTAGTAGTAGTAGTAGTAGTAGTAGTAGTAGTAGTAGTAGTAGTAGTAAAAGCTTTGGTACCAGGTGTGGGAGAGGATCCCAGAGTGGCAGAGCTGGACAATTGCAGAGATTGGACTATAGGCGAGCCACGACCCATGTGCGAGACTGCAATACGGAAGGTCTGCAGTGTGAGCTGCTGCCCTCAGTCTGGATACCCTTCCATGTTTACATGCAGGCGCGAGGGCAATATGAGACACCTCATCTCAATGACTGTCTCTATCTTCAAATGTGTGGTTTCACCTCTATCGGTGGCCTGCAGGCGTAAGTAGACATGCACAACTATCAGGGCCATTCTAAGAGCCACGTAGGTACTCAGGCATCCACTCGTTATTCCTCATGAGTAACCAACTTCATCGCATCGAAGGACTAGAGTGTCTCTGCCGTTTAAGGATGCTTTACCTCAACAGCAATGGACTCACTCATATCGAAGGCCTTCAGCACTGCAAAAACTTGGAGTATTTAAATATCGTGAGATCTGTGTAGGAGGGGAACCAAGAATGGTATCGATTTCAGAGCAACAACCGTATTCGTACTGTGATGAACCTTGAGGAGCTCACCAGTTTGAAGACTCTCATCGTCGCCAACAATCATATATGCAACATTGCATCTGACCTCAGCCCT